AGCACATGGCGGCTCACCTGTTTTGTCGGTAATGTGGAGGGGGGGGGTTGTACTATGTCAAGCCGACTGTAACGCGGGCGTTCCGTATGATCGTAACTCTGCTATACTTTCCGTGAACACGATCGGATCCGCATTTAGCTGCAACATTTCCCGACTCTTGGCCTGGATGACCTTGAGACACTTTTCCCAGAACTGGTCTCGAAAGTGATTGGTGATTTTGGGATTGCGCGTAATAACGGAGTTCGCCGAATTCATCGTGCGTAGACGTTGGGGCTCCTTTTCATGCAGCATACTGTAGAGGATCTCGGCATTTAAGAAGGGTTTCAGTGGATAACTGATTTCATTTCCCATGTAACCGTAGGAAAGATAGAGACAGACCATTACGATAGAATGCAGCTCCCGACTGCAGGTGATTCGGAAGTTAATTGAGCCCTTCAGGAGGACAAAGAGGAAAACAATATTTGCCGGACTGAGGAAGGTAATGTCTGTCCAACCCTGTTGAAGGAGTGCCCGATCGATATCCTTTATCCAGGCCACTATATCCTCGGGGTAGAGAGGGGATTTATGGGTGACACAGAGACTGTCACATTGTTGAAGTATAAACATGGAAAGACAGTAGAGAAGTTCCCGTGTACTCGTTTGCAGTAGGGTAATACGTTCACGTTTAGTGAATTTCCAGGAGGACTGCGGCCCTCTCTTTTGGACTGCTTTCGCCTGCTTATGATTGACTACGTCCCGCTTGGCAAAGGCGCTCAGGCTTCTGTTCATCAAGTTTCTCCTCTTCTCCCGGTAGGCGCCCGATACTGGTCGGGTTTCTTCATTCACATACAAAGCTCGTTGTACCAGGTTGTCCAGATCGTCAAAGACATCGGGTAAAGCAGCATCGTGCGACAGCCCAGCGTCCTTCTGCCACAGTCCTTCGCTCTCCGGTGGTTCGCTCGAGAGCACCTCAGATCTGGCTCGAGTCCCTCCTTCTGAAGCTTTGCGAAACGCACCTGTGGCGTTGTTCGCGGTACCTTTCGGTTTCTTTTGTGACTCCTGTACCGGAGCATCGATTAGCTCAAAAGTGCGAGTCTGTTGGTTAAAGAACTTTAGAGCATAACAGGAGAGGGACTTGGTCAGACTTTTTCCCCGCGTTAAGAGACGCCACCGTGATTTCGACGGACGTCTATCCGGAGCCTGATTGGCGGAAAGATTGGGTAGAATAGTGTCGGCAGCAAATGTCCGAGTTAGTCCCGGCCTGGCGGACGCATTGCCGCCCGACTCACACTCAGTTTTAGACAACGGTGTAAGGCTACCATGGCCGACTTCCGAAATCTTACAGCTATGTGTGCGTTGATGCTGGTGTGGAGCTTGGGCTTGTGACGGCAGGTTAACGTAATCGTGATAGTAATCGGGATCACCTTCACTGATCAAGTCAGCTTCACTGCTAAAGAGGGACTTGAACGCACCACTCTGCCTGTCCTCCTTCTCATCCATCAGCTCCGAGGCAGTAGCTCCGGGGTAGTCTGGAATAGACTTGTCCGTATAGTAGAAGGAGCCTCGGTTTAGCTGGCCCTTGTAGGGATCCATACGGTCGTCGCGCTCAATCCGCGATCGGTGAGTCGGACTCTGCA